TTGCTTTAGTGTACTCGCTAGCTTCTATTTCTTAGCCTGGCCATATCTATAACTTGACTTATTACCTCTGTAAAATGATAGATTGTATGTGTCCCTGACTTCTGAAGTCACTTGCAAATAGTCAAAAGTGTCCTTCAAGTACATAAATACCTAAAGTCTGTCATCTATATAATTTTTAAAAATCTTATCATTTTTATCTGAAAATACTCCTTGGGGCGGAGATCTAGATGGCAGAAAAGAAGGACGTGGAGCTTACCTCCTCCCACAAACACATCAAAACTACATCTATATGTGGAACAACTGTCACGAAAACTATTTCTTGAAATCAAATGGCCAAGAAAACAAAAAGTTGTTAAAGCTCTATAGATTCCAATGAATAGATGTTTTAAATTGCTCTTTAAACTCAATCCCAGTGGGTATCTGGTATTTTCAGAGTAGTATTACATCCATTTTCTTAAAAACAAATGGGAGTGTTAGGTCTAAAGAGATGTAAGAATTTTTTGTTAGGGTCTTTGAGCAAATCAAGGGAAAAAATAAGTTTCCTCTATTCTAAGCCCTGAAGTAGGTACTCTATGCTTCTATGGGTAGTCCCATCAGAATGGGAGTTGTCATTTAATGGGGATAGACTTTCAGTTTTGCAAGATAAAAAGAGTTCTGGAGACTGGTTACACAACAATGTGAATCTACTGAACCCTACTGAACTGTACACTTAAAAATTGTTAAGATGGAAAATTTTATTTCATGTGTATTTTGCCACAATTAAAGAAATGTCTGGGGATAGAAGGAGATGAGGAATTATGCTCCAGGCAAAGGGAACAGTGTGTTCAAAAGCTTGGAAATGAGAAAGAGATTTGCATTAGCCTAAGGTCTTTCAGTTACTAGGAATAGAGAAGAGAAGGAATTAGAAGTTTTCTTTCCTTCCCCTGGATACAAAGCTTGCCATGGGGCGGTTCTGAAATAGTTCAGGTTTGCCTTTGGCACTTTACCACTTCCCTTCTTACACTTTTCTTCTCGAGTCTCTTTTTCCATTTAGCTAATATTTTCCTGTTCATCCAAGCCCTCCAATGTACCACAACTACCAGAAACGTTTCAACTCTTAAAGCTCCACTTATTCCCAAATTCTCCAACCTTCTTTCCATCCCATCAGAATTTTTAGTCGCTCAGGGCAGCTGTTCTCACCAGGTTGTGAGAGGACAGTTACCTGATTAAACGCATTTTTACTAAAGTGTGAATGACCATTAGCTTCTCAAAAGTATCAACCTTTTAAGAGACTACTTCAGAATTCAAAGTGAATCTATTATTAGTGAGATTTTAACAGTAGAATGAAGTGAAACTGTACCATTTTCAGCCATATTAGGAAGAATATTTTTGATCTGGAGAGCTCCCCTTAAACAGGCTTATCTGGCTTGATAATCTATCTTGGAAGTTTGGTTCTCCCAAACTGTTCTGACTTCGTTTCAACTTCTTTCCATATCTCTAACAGTTGTAAATCATTTTTGGTGTTATCCACAAAAAAGTGTCTGATGCTGAGTAAGGGTCATTGAAAGGTGAAAAGGATGTGCAACAGAAATCATTTATTAGTGTGAGTCATAATTAAGTCAGGAACTTCCTAAACTCCTGTATGTTAGGCACAAACATACCTGTCTATTCTATTTTACATTTTATTTAAGGATAGTTGATTTACAATGTTGTGTTAATTTCTACTTTACAATAAAGTGATTATATACCTTACAATAAACTGATATTTTTTCTCTTATGGTTTATCACAGAATATTGAATATAATACTCTATGCTATACAGTAGGACCTTGTTGTTTATCCATTCTCTATACAATAGTTTCCCTCTGCTAATTCCAAACTCCCAGTCCTTCCCTTCCTCACCCCTCCTCCCCCTTGGAAAACACAGGTCTGTTCTCTGATTCTGTAAGTCTAGGAAACACGCCTGTTTAGACTGACATCACCACTAACCACGCATAGTGTTAAAAATACAGGTTCCTGTGGTTCAGATCCCAGTTTCACCAGTTAGGTGTACCACCTTGGGCTAGTCACTTCACCTCTCTGAGCCACCTTGTCTTAGATGAAAAGTGAGGACAATGATAGAATTTACCTCTTATCATTGCTTATGAGGATGAAGTGATCTAATGAATGTGAAACATTCATCACAGTGTTTGGCATGTGGAAGATAGACAGAGATGGGAGTTATCATCTTCATCATCATCACCCTTCCTTGGAGGGCTCCTAAGAAGAGCTGCTTTGGCCCAGTTCCATCCCAACAAGTGAGAATGAACAGAACTGACCCTGGTGCTCTTCCGACCATGATCAGGATGTCCACCCAAGGAGCATGGCGAGAGCACCAATGCGGGGCTCTCTGCTGCTCCTCTGCTTACAGATTTTGACATTGGCAAGCATGTGGCAGTGTTTTCTCCTTCTAGTTTTGCGGTCTCTAGCAAAACCAGTGCCCTCCACCCATCTGGCTCCAGCCCTCTCTCTGTGGCCTCACTTCCTGTTGCTATAGCAGGTCTCTCAAGCAGGATTCATCACTGCCTATCCCAAAATAAGCAGTGAGGAAGACCACACACACTTCTCTATTAATCAAAGACTATTTTTAGGAGTGAGAGAAAAATCTTTACATGATCATCCTTTCCCCTGGTCTGAGGCAGAAGCAGCAGCTGTAGCAGCTGGAAGATGAGCTTCAAAGTCAAACCTACACTCCCAGTTTTTGCTTATTTCTCCACGGGGGAAACGAAATGGAAAAGGAAGCATGGAAGAGGCAGAACTGACCTCACTCCTGCATTTAGAACACAAGCCCGAGAACCTTTTCCGGATAGTTTTTTAGTTTGTGGATGTGAAATTTGAACTGTGCCCAACCCTGGGAGGCAATCCTCACCTCGTTATAACGTGAACTGTGCAGCGTTTGCAAACCCCACAGGGCATGTGTGCAAATTCTCCTTTGGGAGCCAGCTCAGCACAGGCATTTGGTCTGACTCTTCTTCTCCCCTAATATCTACACTCAGACCACAGCACCAAGACTGCCCATGAGTAACTCTAGAGAATGCTGTATTTCTCAGACTTTCTATGAAAAGAATCTTATTTCCTACTTACTGCTATATTTGGGGAGAAACTGTGTGCTTCTGGAGGTCTGGGGATGAAATAAAATGTATATGAGTTCAATAACACAGGAGAAGTAGAGTGACTCTTTGGGGGAAAAATCTTACCTTTTAGTAGATGTTGAATACTAGATTCCTCCTCTCCGTGGACGGCATTTGAACTGACAGATTCATAGGCTGAAAAACAATAAGGGTTTTACCTGAGTCTATGAAAAAAGTCTTGCAAAAAAAGCTATTTTCCTTACCCCAAGATGGGGGAAAACACAGTGGGATGTCTTGATGCCTAGGTCTCCTAATGAATTAGTTTTGAAAACCCTTAGATGCCATCATTGAGGAAAGGCTGATCTAGGATTTAGAAAGCATGTAAGAAATAATATTTTTATTTGAGACGTTGAGGGTGAAAGCCTGTAAGTACTGTGACGTGTAAATTCGGAGAGGCGAACCTGCGACAGAACAAGAACATGAAGCAGTTAACTCCTGACACCCGCTGTGAGGAGATGCCCAGATCTGAACAGCAGATGTGCCGTGGGGTCCCCAGTGCGGGCAGTGCTGGGGGGATGACAGACAAGCGTGAGGAACCCCTGCCTCCAGCTGTAGCCAAATTCAAGGGTTGGACCAGGGAGACAGGAGGGCTTCTAGCCCATCTGATTCCGGCCAGAAAGACAGGCAGGCTTTTTTACAGCCCTGATGAATTTTTTTTGCAATCTCTTCAGAGTCACTCTGGATGAGAAATATTCTCCTAGCTGCCCTTGTCAGTCAGAATGAAAACTAGTTAAAATAATGGCTGAAGAAGATTAGGATAACAGGTCAGAGAAAGGCAGTTAGGGGAGAGGTAACAGATAGCAAGGAGATCAGCTGAGTGGATCTGAAATGGGTCTTTTAATGAGAAGTGTGTGTGTGTGTCTGTGTCTGTTTGTCAGAGAGACAAAGGTATGAGATATTAGTTCTATCCCAACAGATGAGAATGAACAGAACTGACCCTGGTGCTCTTCCGACCATGATCAGGATGTCCACCCAAGGAGCATGGCGAGAGCACAAATGCGGGGCTCTCTGCTGCTCCTCTGCTTACAGATTTTGACATTGGCAAGCATGTGGCTGTTTTCTCCTTCTAGTTTTGCGGTCTCTAGCAAACCAGTGCCCTCCACCCATCTGGCTCCAGCCCTCTCTCTGTGGCCTCACTTCCTGTTGCTATAGCAGGTCTCTCAAGCAGGATTCATCACTGCCTATCCCAAAATAAGCAGTGAGGAAGACCACACACACTTCTCTATTAATCAAAGACTATTTTTAGGAGTGAGAGAAAAATCTTTACATGATCATCCTTTCCCCTGGTCTGAGGCAGAAGCAGCAGCTGTAGCAGCTGGAAGATGAGCTTCAAAGTCAAACCTACACTCCCAGTTTTTGCTTATTTCTCCACGGGGGAAACGAAATGGAAAAGGAAGCATGGAAGAGGCAGAACTGACCTCACTCCTGCATTTAGAACACAAGCCCGAGAACCTTTTCCGGATAGTTTTTTAGTTTGTGGATGTGAAATTTGAACTGTGCCCAACCCTGGGAGGCAATCCTCACCTCGTTATAACGTGAACTGTGCAGCGTTTGCAAACCCCACAGGGCATGTGTGCAAATTCTCCTTTGGGAGCCAGCTCAGCACAGGCATTTGGTCTGACTCTTCTTCTCCCCTAATATCTACACTCAGACCACAGCACCAAGACTGCCCATGAGTAACTCTAGAGAATGCTGTATTTCTCAGACTTTCTATGAAAAGAATCTTATTTCCTACTTACTGCTATATTTGGGGAGAAACTGTGTGCTTCTGGAGGTCTGGGGATGAAATAAAATGTATATGAGTTCAATAACACAGGAGAAGTAGAGTGACTCTTTGGGGGAAAAATCTTACCTTTTAGTAGATGTTGAATACTAGATTCCTCCTCTCCGTGGACGGCATTTGAACTGACAGATTCATAGGCTGAAAAACAATAAGGGTTTTACCTGAGTCTATGAAAAAAGTCTTGCAAAAAAAGCTATTTTCCTTACCCCAAGATGGGGGAAAACACAGTGGGATGTCTTGATGCCTAGGTCTCCTAATGAATTAGTTTTGAAAACCCTTAGATGCCATCATTGAGGAAAGGCTGATCTAGGATTTAGAAAGCATGTAAGAAATAATATTTTTATTTGAGACGTTGAGGGTGAAAGCCTGTAAGTACTGTGACGTGTAAATTCGGAGAGGCGAACCTGCGACAGAACAAGAACATGAAGCAGTTAACTCCTGACACCCGCTGTGAGGAGATGCCCAGATCTGAACAGCAGATGTGCCGTGGGGTCCCCAGTGCGGGCAGCGCTGGGGGGATGACAGACAAGCGTGAGGAACCCCTGCCTCCAGCTGTAGCCAAATTCAAGGGTTGGACCAGGGAGACAGGAGGGCTTCTAGCCCATCTGATTCCGGCCAGAAAGACAGGCAGGCTTTTGTACAGCCCTGATGAATTTTTTTTGCAATCTCTTCAGAGTCACTCTGGATGAGAAATATTCTCCTAGTTGCCCTTGTCAGTCAGAATGAAAACTAGTTAAAATAATGGCTGAAGAAGATTAGGATAACAGGTCAGAGAAAGGCAGTTAGGGGAGAGGTAACAGATAGCAAGGAGATCAGCTGAGTGGATCTGAAATGGGTCTTTTAATGAGAAGTGTGTGTGTGTGTCTGTGTCTGTTTGTCAGAGAGACAAAGGTATGAGATATCAGAAAGATAGAAATAGGGAGGAAAAGGGTCATAGAGAATCAAACACATCTGAAAAAGATTTTGAGGCCTATCTAACTCCCCCACTCCGACTCATTTCCCTATACATGTTTGTATTTATATGCTTCATCGTCTCATTACTGATAATACATATACCAGAGACATTGCCGGAAAAGAATGTTTGGTTTTGCTGATTTGCTAAACCATGGTGGGGCTTGGAAAAGCCTGCTCCTCGGCGCTTTCCCACCCCAGCGTTGCACGCACGCAGCCACAGCACACACACATCCTAGGCTGAGCAGGGCAACTTGGGATTCTGAGAGGCAACACTGGAGAGAGAAAAAGCCATAATTAGTGTTAATTGTTGACCCTACAGTTCAAGAATAGATGCTCTGGAGAATGGGAAATGAGAACAAACATTAATTATTGAGTAGGGACCTTGGAGACAGGCACGCTGGATTAAAAGGAGAGAGATAAATTGCATAATGAATGTTAATTTTCCCTCAAAGAATTGAGTGGTCGGTGGTTGGAAGGGAAAAAGAGGCTAAAACAATCATGAAAGAGAAAGCTCAATGTGTGTCAGGGTGAGAGGGTGCAGGAGGGTTATACAAACACTCTCCATCACGGCTTGCCCCTTCCTCACTCACAGCTCCGGGGAATCTGCGATCAGGGCTTTCCTTAGAACTCTTGTTATTTACCAGTCTTCTGTAGGGATGCTCAACCAGTTCCCCAAGAGCGCATACGTCTGAAAACAGCCACGGTGCATGACAAGCAGAGAGGCAGTTTATTTTTACCGTGGAATTTATTTTTTGTGCACGTTGGTGGGAGTTTGACTTTAAATCAAGGGAGCTGTGGGAACCGAGGGCCACACGGGAAAAGACTGTGGTCCTGTGGGTGCCCCCACGGGGGGACTTGGGCTCCGAGGTCTGGATTTTTGTTTTACCTTAATTATAGCACCCAAGATGCATGTGCATCCCCCCACAACCCCAAAGCAATCCTCTTAACTGAAAGCGAAAACAGAAAATGGTAGTTTGAGTAGAAAATTGGAGATGAGGATGTGCTAAGTCACTTCAGTCATGTCTGACTCTTTGCGGCCCCATGGACTTGTCTCTCACTAGGCTTCTCTGTCCAAGGGGATTCTCCAGGCAAGAGTACTGGAGTGGGTTGCCATGCCCTCCTCCAGGGGCTCTTCCCAACCCAGGGATCAAATCCAAGTCTTTGAAGTCTCCTGAATTAGCAGGCAGGTATTTTACCACTAGTGCCACCTGGGAGATGAGAACTGTAGCCAATTTTGTGAAGAGACTACACACAGGCTTGTCACTGGCTGCTCAGATTCAATGTGCCAATGAGCCTCCTCACATGCGGCTGGTGGCCCTGGGGGCCGTCCCCTTGCCACATCTAATATGTCTGCCCACAGCCTGCCATCCAGGCCTCTGGCAGCTGCTGTCTGGATGGTTCTGTAGTCGTCTGAGCACTTGACCTTTTCTCCTGCCTGCTGCTGGCACCCCTGTTCCTGACACCGCTCCTCAGGCACCTGTGGTTTCTTGTTGCCTAAAAAGCAGAATTTTAGCTCTTTTCTGGTGCACAAGGCCTTCCCTGGCCTGGTCTTGGCCCGCCTTTCAGCCCCATCTCCCCGCCTAAACCCCCTATGCCTGCCCCACAAGGCCTTCTTACAGGCCACTCATCATTTCCCCCATGGAGTCTGCTTTCCAAAGAGACAGCTCTTTGGTTCATGCTGGTCCCAAGCTGGGTCATGTCTTTCTTCTTTGTTTATCTACTTCTACCAGTTTCTTAAAGGTCAGTGCAAATGGGAATTCCTCTGCAAAAATCCTTTCTCAACCCCCAGGTTAGAATGCATCACACCTTCCACCAAGGCCCCTGCATCCTGTTGTTTAGGCCACTGTTTCAACGCTCACCTCATTCTGCCTTGTGGGAGAGTCAGTTGCTGGTGAATCTGTTTTCATGTGGGCTGTGAAGTCTTTGAAGGCAGCAGCCACAGGGCCTTGTGCTGAGCCCTGGGCAGTGGAAAGAGAAGAGCACTGTTTCTGGAACAGATGGGCCTGGGAACAATTATGCTGAGCTGCTCCCCAGGGGTGGTTACTGTGCGCAAGGGGGTTAACCTTGTGTTTCAGTTTCCTCACCTGTGATGTGAATGAAAATACTCCCTTCATCGGATTATTGGGATGATGGAATGAGATGACATAGATGCCTGAGGATGTCTGCTCTTGGTATTAACATCCTTTTCTGTTCCTTGAACATGGTAGGCATCCTGTCCATTGATAGAGGAGTCAGACACAATGTCACGTGTCTTTTCTGTTTTAGGTCCAATGACATTTTATATTGGAATTTTACTTAATACTGTACAAGATGTACTGCATGTATGATCTGGTTTGGTTATCACAAAGCAAAGCAAACTAGATGGCAGGTATTGTCATAGTTGCATTATATTAAGGAACGTGGTGAACTGCTGTAGGATCTCCAGGTGGCACAGTGGTAAAGAATCTGCCTGCCAGTGCAGGAGATGCAAGAGACATTGGTTCGATCCCTGGTTGGGAAGATCCCCGGGAGGAGCAAGTGGCAACCCACTCCAGTATGCTTGCCCGGGAAATTCCATGGATGGATGAGCCTGGTGGGCTACAGTCCATGGGGTTGCAAAGATTAGGACATGACTGAGCACACACACAAGCTGCTATAACAAAGAGGTTCAACAAGATAAACTTTTTTTTTTTCAGGTAAGAGTTCTGAGGGAGGTGGGTGGACAGGGGTGGTCAGCTCCATGAAGTTATCCGGGCATTGTGGTTCCTTATAACTTTTGGCTTCATCATCCCCTAGAGCACTGCCTTTTTCCATGTGTTTGAAGTTACTTCACCAAGTTACTACCACCAAGTCCAAGGGGAAAGAAGAGGAAGCGGAGGAGGAAGAGAAGGAGGAGGGCAGTGGTTTCTTTTTAAGAAGGTGACCCAGAAGCTGTACACATTACTTCTGTTGACATTTCTTCAGCCACACCTGTCATACCTGGCTGCAACGGAGGCTAGGAAATTTAATTTCTAACCAGGCAGCCATGTGTTCAATTAAACTTCATGGTGAAAGTGAAGTGAATTCACTCAGTCGTGTTCAACTCTACCAGGCTCCTCGGTCCATGGAATTTTCCAGGCCAGGGTACCTGAGTGGGTTGCCATTTCCTTCTGCAGGGGATCTTCCCAACCCAGGGATCGAACCTGGGTCTCCCACATTGCAGGCAGATGTTTTACTATCTGAGCCACTGGGGAAGCCAACTTCATGGTTCAGTTCAGTTCAGTTCAGTCGCTCAATCGTGTCCGACTCTTTGCGACCCCATGAACCGCAGCACGCCAGGCCTCCCTGTCCATCACCAACTCCCAGAGTCCACCCAAACCCATGTCCATTGAGTCGGTGATGCATTCCAACCATCTCATCCTCTGTCGTCCCCTTCTACTCATGCCTTCAATCTTTCCCAGCATCAGGGTCTTTTCAAATGAGTCAGCTCTTCGCATCAGGTGGCCAAAGTATTGGAGTTTCAGCCTCAACATCAGTCCTTCCAATGAACACCCAGGACTGATCTCCTTTAGAATGGACTGGTTGGATTTCCTTGCAGTCCAAGGGACTCTCAAGAGTCTTCTCCAACACCACAGTTCAAAAGCAACATATTAGGAGATTCTAAAGACAATAGGAATAATGGAAAAATATATATGGGGGAACAGATAAAATCTTTGCTACTCACAGTTTCAATCAATATTTATGGATAGTGTTCTGGGAATACCTATGATGTTCTCTGGTGTATTCAGAAGTAAATGTGGGGGATATATCTACAGGAATTTTAAATCTCAGAGGAGAATGAAGAAAAAGAGTAAAAAAGATAGAAAAAAAAATGAGGGAGTGCCTGGTGAGAGACCCAGGTAGTAAGAATTAATAGAACCTAAGATAGTAGCAGTCAGTGTGGGCTTCGGTGGTCAGGTGAGGTGGTGCAATGAAGATTAGACTTCAGCTAGCCCTTAAAGCCTAGAAACTAGAGGCAATAAGATTTAAGGAGAAGATCTTTGGCCTAAGTTGTTGCAGGAAGATCTGGGCTTGAGCCTTAGATTTGTCGCATAAAATCTGTGTGACTTTGAGCAAATTGCCATACCTCTCTGGACCTTGGTTTTCCTTCCACAAAATGAGTTTTCAACTGTGGTCTCATAGTTCTAGTGACTCCGCACAGGCCCTACAGCCAAGAATCATTTTTG